ATGTTCTTCTACCCGTAAAGAGCCTAAAAAAACGTAAGGAAAACGCTGGAAAGTATCTTCGTTGGGTAAGTTAATCCAAGACATAATTCACCTTTGTGCTTGCCAGTAAAACTAATGCAAATCTTCCATCCCTCTTTCCTGATGCGCGCTGTCTCACAGTCTGTCTGCCTGACTTCCGGTCAGTAGGTCGGTCGATCTGTGAGTCTATCGATGGATCAGTCTGTCTGTCTTTCTGCCATGTAGTCCGTTCAGTTTGTTTCCGCGCCTGTGTCCCTTTGGTTCCCAATTTGTACGTTTTTTTAGTTTCTGCTGTCATATCTAACAAACCAAAGCTCAAACTAGTTATGCCATAAATATATTGTGAATGCACTGCTACTCTGAACTTCCATTGTGAGAGAAATTAGACTCTCCGACAAGGTCAACCTTTTTAACAGGTCAATAGAAAAGTTTAATAGAGTTTTGCTGTCGTGCTTTTACATCCTAATATTTTTTTCAATAGTTTGAAGCAGCAATGGCATCAGACCAGGAGAAGTTCCTAATTCACGACTCAGTAACGCAGGATGACTGTGAGCTTCTCAGATTTGCCTTTCTTTCCGCCTCAGAGGGTTCAACTCTGCTGGACATGTCATCTCTCACAAAACCAGATATTCAGGGATACGCTGTTGTTTTCAAACATCTTTTTGGTAATTGACAATTCATTACACATATGCCAATAACAGAACATCTGTTTTTTTCAAAAGATAGAATTCACACAACTCGCAGCGATCATACTTTTTACATTTTTCTCAGGAGAAGTTTATAATGTCATTATGACAACTGCGAGATCCAACATTTCGTTATTGCTTTTAGGAAGGGCTTTGTTACTTACCAAAACTAAACCTGTTTGAAAGGAAAAACAATAGTGTAAAAATAACTTGCTTTATCCATAAATCAGAAGTTGAAATAACATAAACAAGAGCTGAGTATTAGTTTTGGTGAATATCGCATTCGGCGTGCTCAAATTGAGTTTTAAAATTTTTTTCAAGGTATAGATTGTGACTTATCGATCTTTCAAGTGACTGGAAATAAGATGAATTTAAATTGATACTCGTGATTTGCATGCACATTTTTACATTAAATTTGATTGAAAAGTGCAGATCATCGGCGAGCTGCCGATATTAAAATCCACAAAATTTTCACGCCACACACTCTTATAGGCAAGGAGACTGGTGACAACCCTAAATCTTCTCAACAATAAAATGTCAATGCCTATTCTTTCTGAAAGTAATCGTGTTCCTTTTTCCAACAGATTTGACCGATGAAAAGTGGAGAAAATTGGAGCAGAGGAACGCAGAAGATGATTAACCACGACTGTGTTAACAATGGCCGATACACTTTTGAAACTGAGATAGAAGTTTTCTAATGTAAAACGATTAAGGTTTGAGCTAAGCACGTTTGCTATAAGTAGTTAATCGCCTTTTATCTCTAACCACTTATTTTTTGAAGTAATTTCTATCTGTGAAAAGTTGTCCACTGAAGATCGCTTTGCAATTGAGTGTTGCAAGACCAAAAGCAAAACCAAACTCCTCAAAAATAGACCAATCAGAATAATAGAAAATTCCGCAGCGAGCCAATGACAACTCATAGTAAGACACAACGAATCTTCTTTAACGGCAGTAATTGGAATGGATTGTGTTAAAGTTTGGCTTTCGAATCATCGTGCAATGATTACGCAAGTAAAGGCTAATCGTAGGGTACACGTTCGACATCCAATCTAAGTCTTGCCAGTAAGCATAATATATGATCCCTCTAATACTCCTTGCTCCCCCCATGCAGCCCACCCCCATTACAATGAGTAGTTAATGAGTATGCAAGAGATTTGTAGAAAATTCGAAAATGATTATCCATATCATGGGAGCTTACGAAATAACGACGGCTGCGCTGAGGGCTCCGTCTATCTTTGTTTCCCTTGAGAACTCTGAAATAACCAAGATCCATTTWCTTCTCTGCACGACGGCAGAACTACATTTCCAATTTCTGCGCAAAGAATTTCTTTATTTCCAACTGGGGAAACCTGAAATTTCCTGTCATCCGAAGCCTTTTTCAGAGTACGACGAAATCGGTCGTTCGATCACTTTGCTATTTTTAGTGGATAGCAAGGAACGGGAAAAAAAATCTAAATTCCCTTGTGCATTTGATGTTCTGCTTATTGTTGTGCCACTTTATCCCAAGAATTTCTTCAAGTCATCGCCGTCCAACTTTTCGTAAGGTCCCTATCGAAGGTTTAAGACTTGATGGTCTCCTTTTATCTCCCTCAGAGATCAAATCCCTCATGAGTCATTATACAAAGTGCAATTATGTTTAAAAGAATGATGCAGTTTATCTTTCAACATGATAATCCAACTACAGGAACTTCTTGTTTCTAATGCCACTGTTTGAAAAATCCATCAGTCAGAGCGTCGAAGAGCTAAGTCACAAAATCTCAGTTAAATTTTATTTTAAATTTCGTCATTTGCTTTCTGTTGTAATTCTTGCTATTGTTAGTTTAGCATCCAGCTTCCTTGTTTTGTAATGGACTTAATAGCTAGGACAGGTCGTAAGGAAATTTCGCTGCCCTAAGTAATCGAGAAAAAATCGTGTGAACTACACATTGAGGTGTCATGTGGCGGGGACGTTTAGCGGGGACATGAGGCGAGACTAAATATTAAATCATAGATTCTGCATACTTGATGCAGCGCAAAAAAATTATGCCATAGCTTTCCCTGGTGGATTGTGTTTTCTTTGTGTTTTCAATAGCTTATCCCCTTTCATTACATTTTATTTTAAATGAGATAAGCATAAGATTCTCGTTAAATTTCCACGATGTATCACCAGTATCTTCGGAGAAATCAGTTAACTGGTTTTTTTTCCCACTGATTCAAAACCAAGACTGGCCATCTTCCGTCTCCTCGGAAGCGACCAGAGCAATGAAGTCATCCCTTCTGAAAGTATCGCGAAAACTTTGCCGTTTACTCGGGAGGACGTGTTCCTTCAACATTTACATAAGAAATGACCATACTACATTTTCGTGTGAATAGCAATGCATGTGTATGAACTGCGCATTTCTGTCCTTAACTCGAGCTAGCAACACGCCCCTGCCACATAACCCTTGAAGCGTACAGCACATAAAATCGCTCCTCCCCTCCCCCCATGATCCTATGTCGCAGAATCGTGTCCATCCAACATTTACCCCCATGAGAGATTCGCTTTCATCCTGCCATCTTGTTATTGTCCAATGAAGAATTATTCCAGGGTTTGAACAGCAGATCAAAGACGTCTGAAGCTTAAATTTAATTTCATGATAGACACCTTTAAAACAAGAGGGATTACTGAAAGTCTAATCTTTCAGGAGTTAATGCTTTGAAAGTTGAAAGCATACACCTCACTTACTGTTCGTATCTAATCAAATAGGACAGTTATAAACAACGAAACATTATTCTAACCTGCCCATTTACTTCTGCAAAGCCTTCTGAGGAGATCTTAAAGCATCAGCGATTGAGACCATGACTGGTCTCTTTGCGAAACGATCTTTATGTGGACAGCTCTTCTTTTCCCCTGAACTTTTACAAGTAATTGTAATCATGACATTTAACCAAAGTTAAACGGTAGAGTTTGTTTTCTATAAGCTATAAATTAAAAAAAAATTAAGTAAATTGTATCGGTATTGGCCTCTCCTTGACTTAAGAGTGTCATTTTGTATTTTTTCCCTAAAAGAGGCTTCGGAGACTAAGATTGTTAATAAGTAGTGGACGAAAAACGAGTTAAGAAAATTGATTGCAATGCGTAATTCTAAACTTCATATTGACTATATTTTCCGCATATCGACCATTTTTTCATTGACCTCGCCGTTGTACTTAAAAAAAGTTACTTTAGGCAAAAAGCGACAGCGACAGCTACGAGAACGGGGGCAAACAAAATAAACAGCGAAGAAGTAGTGCGTCTTAAATTCTGAATAGCTTAAGTATTAGACCTTCTGTGAAGTGAAACCCAGGTGGAAATTTTTCATGCTCCAGTTTGGCATCCGAGTTACATTTTTTATTCACAGATTAAGCTGAAGAGAGATCTGCCTCTGATAAAGAATGAGAAATAATTAAGCCATCAGCAAAATCTTCGAGATAAATGAGTTGATTCTTTAAGCAATCGTTTTCTTTGGTGTCGCAGTCAATGAATCTTTTATTTCTTAATGCAAATCAATAGATGGAGCAACTTAAGATTTGGGAGCTAATAGGCATATTTTAGGTGTTAACAGTATTTTAAATAAATAAAATAAAAGGAAATGTTTAAAAGCTTCCTTTGCTTCCCAACTGGAAAAATTAACAGCTTCATTCACTGAGTAAACAATCATTTTGCTCATGCCTCATCCCTCACCAAAATTTCTTTCTTGTTATGAGCATTATTGAAACCCTCCAGCGCATTTCTTTTTTCATACAGAGTTGGGTCGATTAAAAAATTCTCATCGGGCAAATTGAAATGTCAACTTCTTGCTCGTACTTTTAATTCTAGGGCCTCTTTTNTCTATATTTGCCAGCCATTCTGACTCTTCGTCGTCGGAAATATGATTCAAATTGTCCGCCACTTTTTTTTTTTCGTAACTACAATCCAATTCTTCGCTTGTGCGATGCGAGAAAACCTGTTTAACCGGTACTACAATAGACGAGTACAAATACCGTGTGATATTTGTGCTCGTCTATGGCGTTATTTGTACTCGTCTAGGTGTAGTTGGATAATAAAAGCCTGTATTGTTATTCGTTTTAAATATCGAAGGTTTTCAACCAAATACATTGAAGACTTAAATTCAGTTTGGGTCAAAAGAGGAAAGAAAACCAATGAGTTATTCCTTGTCCCTCAGCTAGTTTTGAACAAATTCCCCTCCCCATCCCCTCCCTGGTGGACTCTCCTCCCCAACACATGCCCAGCCCATACCTCATGTGGTACAACATTGAAGAAACCGAAATTAATCATTCCGTCATATTGATGCAGCTTGTCAGATTTAAATACGCGAAGCGGGAGTCTATGTTGGAATGAATTAACGCATCAGAACTTTGTCAGTAAGCATCAAAACAGCATTCAGCAATACTATTTTGTTTCAGAGGGTATGTAGTTTTTATTCCTTTTCCATATTTGAATAACCATACTTCTGATTCCAATTATCCAGCTATTTTATTGTATTTGGAAGTCTAATAATGACTATTTACAGCATCGTTCGTAATATTTTCAATGACGAAATTGCCGTGCCAAAGTTCTTAAAGCGTCAGAGATCTTGTTTTTTCAGTACGGTTATAGCGCCTAGAAAACTAGAAGGAATTTCAATTGTGCTGCCATGAATTTATGGTTAGTTTGCTGGAATTGTAATTAGAGCGTCTCGAATTCAAGTCGTTTACGCTGGTTCTTAGCGAATTTTTCCTTATGTTTTTCAATTCTGGATTTTCCATTTTTTGCGTGTGTGCATTTCACAGATAGCTGAGCGGTCTTTTACCTCACTCTTGAGATTTTTGCTCCTTATATTTTGCTTGTATTCCATGCATGCGTTATTAAAGTGAATCTTATTTGTTAGAGCTGAGTTTTGTTCTTCTAGGGAAAAATATTCCGATGACGAAAGTGAAAAAGTTGTGTTTTCATTTCTATTTAATCCTACGCGATGTTTTTTTATGCATTGGAAGAAAATGAGGTTGAAGATGTAATAGCATTTGTCCAGATGGTACATCATCGAGTTGACAATTGAGCAACACAGATTGTTTTTTGTTTTTTACCGAAACAAGTCTGTAGGTCAGCACTGGCGTTAAATTACTGTGCATCGAAGATATTTCTAGAAATGCTTTTACCGCCATATTTCCCACGTGCTCAGTGTACCTACACCTCGTGAAAGCATGAATAGAGGTGACACATTTCATTTTCGACGGATGTAGGAAGGTTTTGACCATCAACATTCAGTTTTCTTAATACGCATGCGCTGCGTCCGTTAGGATAAACATTAAGGACCTTAAGCAGTCAGGACGGCAACGCCAAGGAAGTCGTCGATTAAAAACTGAATTTCTACTTTTAATTAGAATTACGAAAATGGCTGCATGTGTTTACCATCTCATGCGGCGCCACAACTCAACCTCAAAATATCGTCTAAAAGTAGCGTTGAGTTCCAAATGGATATTAGAATAATTTGCCGTCGCGGTTTCGGTTCGCAAACAACGCAAATCTTGGTAAATTCGCGTTGTTGTTTTGCAAAGGACGGCTATGAAATGTACTAAGTCTTTAAGTGCAAGGGCTGAGCTATTGTTCTGCCAATTAGATCTTTTGTTTTTCCACGTCCTCGTTGCCATCGCCGTCGTGGTTTCCTTAAGGTCCCTAATATTAATTGGTACCTCAGCCCCTGAAAATGGTTGAATCGCAAGTATCTGAATTTACCTTTAGAGAATGCTATTGGAGAAGAAATCAAATGCACTATTCGCAAATACGGAACAAGAATGCCATAAAGCCATAGTAGTCTCGATCAGTTTCAGATATTCACGCGGTCCGATGCGATGTTTTATCCGCACCTATGTCACATTACTAAGATTTGGCTCGTGACGACTCGTTCGGGATCCATGGCAATTGTGACAGGGAAATTTTTACAAGGAAGTAGAGAAGGAGATGACGAAATTTTGTTTTCTACATCTTCAAGTTACAAATTTTTTAATGCTGAATAATGTAGTGACTCTGGATTTTTAAAAAAATCCGGCTCACAAAGCGAGAAATAAAGAATATAAACCTCGCTCTTTTCAGTTCGAAGGATAACTCTACACAGAAAAAGTAACTTACGTGGAGGTATACAGGACTTGGGTGTTCAGTGGACTTACCAGTTTGTTACTAGTGCAATCGCGTAATACTATATGAACTGAAGAAAAGAGATGGTTCGTAGAAAGAGAACTTGCAAGTAAGACATGATTTCATTTGATTTGTTTCCAGATGTTAGAAGAAGTACTTCGAAAGTTTGCTCAGGAGAACTTTAGCCATAAATACTATCCCGTTCTTCATGGAGAATCTGAGAAAATACAGCCGCTGGCGCTTGCTGTAAAAAGACCTCGGTTAATATGGAAACGACCACGCGGAAGACACGAAATCAAAGTCTTCGCAGAACTAGCGAAATATGTTCAAGGTGACGAAGAAGCTCAAGTGCTGCGTGATGCCTTGGAATCTCATGTCAAAGAGGAAATGTTTCAGTTCAAACCGACCATTGATATTGGTAACAGGTAAAAATTCATTGATAAAGAAGTTCGAAGGTCATTACTAAAATCCATACCATGTTAGAAACTTACCCGGCCCTAAGTTTCTCTGCTTTTAAGTTTTTTGTTGTTGGTGTTGTTTCGAAATACTTGAAAAACTTGCTATAAAGCACTATACTCCCCGACATTGGTATTCTGGTCAAACGTTCAGAGGACGATGTTTATTGTAGATTGAATCTGACTTTTTCGTTGATTCCAGTAGGGCTGAGGAGTACAGTTTAACTGTTTTAGGATATCCGGGGGCAACCATCAGGTTCAGCGGCGATCAAGAAGTACTAAAACTAGGTAGACTAAGCCAGAAATACATTGACGATCCAGATCTCCGTGGGATACTTGCAAATACTCCTTTAGATTACAACAAAATTAAAGGCATTCAGGGGGATGAATTGCTTCTGATAACGTCCGTGATTTCAAGCGAGCAATTTCAACTTGAAGGAGAGAGAAAGCAAGAGGTATAGTATCGATAGGTATCAGTTTTAGAGAAATGTCCCCTTTCTTCACATCCCAAACTACTGAATTTCCGACGGAGTGTTTAGCAAATTTGACAACTCATTGAAAGATACATTTGTATTGATCTTATTTCAGACCGAGGCCGAATTCAGCGGCAAAGTACCGCCAAAAGTGAGTCCCTTCTTCAAACACTTTTTTCAACCTGAAAAATGGCATGCTCGCTACCGCAGTTCGTGTTCTCCTCCAGAGGTGGCATCCAGAAACTCCACTGCGCCGATCCTCTTCAAGTGTTGCCGCGTTATTTACCTGAAGGAAGAAAACAGACTGGAAATCTGGAAAGGAGAATTTGTTGGTAAAACAGTTACCATTGACGTGTTTGGCGGCAATCCTGGGGAAAAGGACCCGGATTATGACAGCACCTATGTAGAAATATGCCCAGACGAGACTGACCATCCAGGTAGGTGTGTTTGATACGCAGACTTCTATGATTCTTACAAGTAGATCAGGGACGTTCTGACGTACGAGTTCGACAACAAGAACGAGATTTGAGTTTAAGTTGTAAGGTAAGTATATATTCTTCGTGAAGTATCCTTGTACTCTGAGAGCTGCAGACTTTGCTCAACTGTTGTTATCGGACAAAATTCGGGTCTTACCAAAGTGAAATGTTGAACTGCTAACGTCTCTGTATCCTTTTCTTTGCCAAAGGTTTCGCTCTATGTCTTAAAGAATGTTTCATTTACCTGTAAAATATTAGGCAAGTTTGCGTGCCTCTCCGCCCCTGTTTCACTGTTTTATGGGAAGATTTCGAGCCATAAGTCGCACTCGTCTGAGAAGCTTAAGGTCTTCGCTGTCATCCTTTTTTTTCTTATCGAGCAAAAAAACCTAACATAGCATGGTAGCGTATTATCAAATTTCAGGGATGCTCTTTTTCTTCAAACAGATGCTCTTAGTGCAGAAGATTACGAGAAACTTGACCCTATACTTTTCAAAGTGCTTCTACCAACAAAGAATAGAGAACAACGTAAGGTTCTAGTTCGGAAGTATATGTGCTGGGTAAGTTAACTTTAGACACTAGATGTCATTACATCGAATCGCTTTGCGAATAGCCGTTAAATTAAAGAAGGATCCTTTGAAATGGATCGTCTGTCCTGTGTCTAACTGCCTTTCTGTCTGTAATCTGTCTACATTTTGCTTGTGATTCTATTTTTCTGCATTTCTGATGCGTTGAATTCTCTGTCTGCCAACCAGCCTGGCTCGTTGCTTGCGTCTATCTGTCAATCTTTGCTAACTGCTCTTTGGTTTTTGATCGATGCTTGCATTTCCATATCGACCACATATGTTGTAGCCACATATCGAAAAAGGTTGAATTCATGGTTTATTGGCAATCGCTCTAGAAAGACGATTCGCTGTATATGTTTCGTGTATATATCAAGTCGATCAAAAGTTTCGAGTTACTATGTTATTTACACTTTTAGGTTGACTGTTAGTCTGATTTTTGTTAACATTGAGACTTTTTGGTCATTAGTTTGAAAAAGCGTTAACAAAAGGCCAAAGCAGATTTGTGGTTCCAGAGACAATAACTCCAGGTGACAGGGAGCTTTTCAGAATTGCCAATATTTCCTGTGAGGAGGA